AAATGCCGAACACAACAAATGATTCTGATTCAATATTATAGCATGAATAATTCATTTTTCCAGCAAGCAGTGTATAAAAAATAAAGGACAAAAAAGAATAACATGGACAAGGGCCATGTGTTCATTTCTAGAACAATCTAAATTATAATTTGGTCTGTTTTTAAAGTCATCCTAAAGAACATGATAAACGCAATGTCATTCACTTGGACTATGAGAAGAATCTTAATGTTGAACCTACATTTACATAGAAATATAAACTATGTATTAGTTGGTTACAGAATTTTTAAAAAATGATTTGGGTCAAGTGGACAAGAGCTTGATTTTGGATATGGTCAGCTACAAGATACAATTTTATATAACCCACAGCATATACTGAATAAAAAGCAAATGCTGCAAATTAAATATACATTATATAGTAATATAACTGAGAGTGTATTTTAACATGATCCAGACAAGCAGGTTCAGCAATTCGGAATTGGAATGAAATACCTGTCATTATGGTTGCTTCAGCAGATGAGATAATACCTCAAACTTCTGAAGATTCTTTTGCGAGATTTATCTAGTCATTGATTGTAAATTTCCCACTTTAGTCGAACGATCAGGTTGAGGTAACACTGATTCTCTTGCTTTCTATTTCACCTTCAGAATCGTAGGTGCTGGAGGGTAGGCATATATATATATATATATATATATATATATATATATATATATATATATCTATATATATATATATATATATATATATATATATATATATATATATATATGCTGTTCTAATCTATAGAAAGAGCATCGACTGTCCAGGCCTTTGAATCCAGGACTGGTGAGACAAAAGTTGGGAATGTGTCATTTCACCTTCTCACAAATAGGTCCACCAATGGTTGATACCATTGGGCACAAGTTTTAGTGAGTGAAAACTGACTGATGAAGAGACCATTCCGTTTGTGGGATGAGTCTACTAATACATTCAGCTGTCCTTAGCTAAATCAAATGTGGACATGGATTTGTTAATGAAGACACAACTTTAGAAAATCTCACCCCCACCCCCCGTTACAAAAGTCTGGAGACTTTTCTACCTTGCCATTTGAGACAAATCACATTTTGATATGCAGATGGCGATCCTGAGGAAGCCAAACTCCAATGACAACCCATAATGATGAAAGGAGACTTCCTCACCCACTCGTTCTCTGTGTTCATATCAATAAATATTGTGATTGCTGAAGGTTGTACTAGCAGACGTTTCCCTGGCTTCAAGATGGAACCTCATATCGTGCAGACTGTGAAAATGGTCCAATGGTCAAAAGTTTGGCCTCCATTTGGACCACAATAATTGTAATTGGAGCCCAAGAGGGCAATCTACGACTAAGATGTTTGCTGCCACATTAAACAAAAAACAGCAGGCAAAGGAATTTTATGGTGGGTGGATTCGTCTGTATAAGCAAGGAAACTGCCATTGAACTGAGACAGTTCTTATTCCCGAGGGAGACAGCTCTGGACCATGATGACCAAAGTCTTGAACTGATACAAGGTTAGACATGTCATTGTTGACAAGGAGATTGAGAAAGAGAATGAGAAAATGAGATTAACAGGGGATATCGTGTATTGGCCCAAGATATAAATTTCTGCTGTTCTGTATAATGTAGTCTTACAGAAAAATCACAGGAACTTCTTGGAAGCCATGTTAGTGGGGATATTAAGTCTTGCAAGTCCATACTGACTGCATAGTCTCTCTACTAGATTGCATTTAGAATCTGCTTTTGCATTCCATTATGAAGCAAAGAGTGCAAGACGAGAGTTCACTAATCAATTTAAGGTCAATGCCAGAGTGAAGAGCATCAAATATAATGTTGGGAGAACCCCTGGGGAAAGGAAGAGGTGTGCTTGAAAGTGATACATGGTCCCCCCTGAAAACAATTGTCTGGTCCATATGTCATCATGACAGATCTTCCCCATTCTGTGATAAGGGCAGAGTAAAAAAATGTAATTTGAAATTGGGATTGTTTTGTGGTCCAAAACACCGGGGAAAACAATCACCCTCTCTTTGCCTCTTGCACATTTTAGTTCAGGAGAACTGTAGTGTTTGACAGTTTTAAATCTGGTAGGTCTGTTTTCCACTAGCCTGTGTTCTTGGGACAAACATGCAATCTTTGATGATGGTCTTACAAATCTCTCCACTGTGCTACGACTGTAGGAAAAAGGAAAGAAGGTATCATTGGTTGCTTGTTTGCCATCAACATGATCATTAAAGAAGAGATCAGATGATTAAGGTTGTGAGCATTGCATCTTGTTCCACCTGTTTTAAGTTCATGGCTGATGTTGAGGCCTTGACCAGAATATAATGGGCTGTTATGTTTTAGAAGCAGGTCATTCTATAAACAGATTCCCACATATGTCTGGTGTGATTTGGAGTCGAAGAAGATAAACTGTTTTACCTGTTGAAAGATCACTATAGATACTAGATCTAACACTGTGTTCACAGCCATGATGTCACGCATCAACTACTGGGTATCCAAATGGAAAACTGGTGTGTGGGGCATGAATAATGACTGACTACAGTTGGAGGGAACCAGAACTGATAAACCTAGCAAGATATTTTCAGTAAGGTAGTCAATTTTATTCCACAAGTTTTCAATAAGATGCAAAAATATCATGCATGTTATTGTCAAGCTGAAAAAAAACATAGAAAAGTTCAGAACTGTGCTTCAAGACAGATGATGTGATGGTAAAGATTGTCTTTAATTAAAATGTTTGTAAAATGTGTTTGGAGCTTAATTACCTCCAGTACAGTTTCACAAACTTCAGTTTTTCTTGCTATCTCTCACCTGGTTGTAATCCCCCGCAAAAACATTTAAATTTCATGTGGCGTTAGCAATCATCTTACCCACAAGAAGACATACTCAAACCAACACATAATGTCCCAATAAACGTAATTGTTGTCCTTTCTGATATTTTCCGTAAGAATCGGAATATTTCTTTTCATTCTTCTGTGCTATTAAAACTTTAAAGAGGCTTCTGCCCCTTTCATCCTGCAAATATATTGCTTGTTGTATGCCAGTTATAGAAAATTCTAATATGCAACAGCCTGATAATGCAGACAGTTTGCAACACAAAATATGTGCAGTTTAAAGAGTCTGAGGTTCTCCTGTAAAGTTAGTCTGTTTACCAAATCCACTGAATCTAATATGAAATCCAGAGAAAAGACAGTATCTGGATTTTACCACAAAATAAATAACATTTCTGTAATTTGTGCTTTGATTCCATAAGTCTATAATTTAAGGGTCGTTTCTGTAAGACCTATGCAACATTTTATGGGTTAGTAGGTCTGGGTAAGGAACCCGTGAGAAAAAGCATTGCTAGACACTTGAAATTTGTAAATGACGATGTAAGCATCCCAAAATATAGGTAACTGCCAGACAGTGGATGCAAATGAAAACAGATTCTTTCTTAGTCAATGAGAACCTGATTTTTGAATTGTAGACCAGGCAGGTGTTGTAGTAAGATCATAGTAAGATCTATAAATGATAAGTAAACTTAAAAAGAATATTTTTGTCATCTTTGGACAAAAGTAGTGAAGCTGATGTATCCTGAATTAGCTGCAAAGTAGTTGGAGAAGAATGTGAGGATGGTCGCTCAGTTCTCTCAGCAGGTCAATAGTTAGATCTCATTACTTCCATGCTATCACTAAGTATAGGCTCTCTTTGAATGGCAAAGGCTTGATGATAAGTGAAGTGACATATCTTAGATGCGGTGGCACCAAGATGCACACTGTACAAAGGAAATGCCTATCTGCATTATGTGGGTTAAATTGATCCATACAAGTGCTTTTAGACACTGGTCGTCAACAGGAAATGCCTAGTAACACAATGCAGGTTAGATTGATCCATGAGAGAGCCTGTATAAATTATGCATTGTATGCAGAGTATACCGTGACACTATTGGGTTAGATTGATCCATTTGAGTGCCTGTGTAGACTGGACATTGTTTACATAAAGTGCTAAGTGGCACTATATGGGTTAGACATCTGTATACATTGGGTCTGTGGGTAATGAGGCACTAAGCTTGGCATTGTACATAAAGCTGTCAAAAGCTACCAGGGTATCCACCCATTCATATTTATCTGCTACAGCATAACGCTTAGTTCATGTAAAATACATTTTCTCTTTTCCAAATTCAGATCATAGATTTGAATTTTCCATATAAATTAGCACTCACAGAAGTGTCTTCAATTTATCATAATGACCGAGATAACATGCATGGAAGACAAGACATATGAAAAAGGGTAACATTTCATGAACTTTCTGCAGAGACATTCATATTGGAACATATAAATAGTTGATGATTTTTGACATGTTACACTCATAATCTACCAGAAACTTACGATATCATACATGTACAACACAAATTGGGAGAAAATAAAACACGTATTCATTATAAAGGTTGAAAGTAAAGTGTGTAATTTAATGTGTACAAAGAGAACAATGTTCATATATTACATTATTTAAGTGATGCCTATCTATCACTTATAAAGCTTTGAATAGTTTATATACCCTCCTATAAATCAACTATCTTAAAAGCTGATCCTTTGTTCAAGTATAGTACATACAGTTCACCCAATTTTCAAAACGCCACATATTGTGGTGTGGGATTTAATGCCATAAACTTTCACTCTACAGTGGAGGGTAAAATACCTACAAATCACAACCAGGCCTCAGCAGGCACTGTTATGGTCAACTTTACTGAAATGTTTGAACATTCAGTAATGTGATGTGATTATGATTTTTAATGTAGCTTTAACACTTTTTCAGTCATATGGCTACGATGTCTGCAGTGTGGCAGTTTATGGTGATGTCTAGCGCTGGGGTATCATGCCGCAGACATGTAGCATGTTGTCCCAACTAATCACATTATCCTGACACCAGGCCGTCCAGTCCTAACAATAACCTCATATTGTTGAACGTCAAGCAGGCGGCTGTTAGTACCATTTTTGAAAGTCTTTAGTATGACTCGACCAGGGATCGAACCTATGACCTCCTACACATGAGGCGGACGCTCTAACCACTAGGCCACCCGAGCGGTTCGAACATTCAGTGAATGGAGAAAAACTATGAAAAGAGTGGAGTGATTAAAACCCCGTAACATTTGAAGAATCGGTCATCATTATTTTTATCAGATAAATGTATAATACAAATATTTTTAAAGTTCTTGTATAATCAGTACATGCATATTCAGAAAAGATGACAATCTTCTTGTGCGATAAATTGATGCTTTCACTTTACTGAAAGAAATCTAAAGAAACCTACACACTGATTTGATAAGAGGCACACATTATTAAGCTTCTCTTTAACAGCAAAAACTTATCCTACTGTTTGAAAAGAAATGTGATTCTTTAAGATAGGGGCACCATTTCGAATTGTAAGTATAATGATGCTACTAAGTGAAGACGGTTTGGCAGTCGAAATATTTAAACTGTTACTTAAAGGTCACCGGCCACCCTCAACCTTTTTCTGTTTACATCATATTTGCAAGATATGGTTAAAAGTGGCTATACTCACACAAAAAGAACAAAAAAACCTATCAAGTGTAAAGAAGAAATAATAATTTAATTACTTGAAAAAGATGTATATAATGCAGTTACTACCCCTTAGTTAAGCATCAGGGACGGTGAACCCTACAACGTTTTGCTCGAGTCCATATAAAAAACTAAAGGTTCCTACAACTGGCTGAAAAAATAGGTCAATAACGCTAAACCAAAGTCTCTAAATTTTCTATTTCATATACGGTTAAGAACCGGTCATAAACGTATAATAACGTCATGAGGTTAGCTCAGTTTTGTTATACTATTGTTGACTTATTTTTTCAAGAGTTCATTTACTTGCAAAGCGATTAAATTGTTGTCCTTCACCCTCCCTGCTGCTCTAGATTAACCAAAGATTTCATCCAGACCTATACGATATTTGGATCTTGGGTCATATAGATTTATTGTTATAAATCCGAACGGAACAGCTTGTGCTTTAGAAAAAAAAAGTTTTTAAATTTAATCATATCCAAATCCACTGAACACCAGGTATAATAAATATTTTATAGAGTATAATTATCTACTCCATTAAACACAACTAGAATATTACGGTTATCTCTGATCACCATAGGTATTTGTGTGTATCGTTGTGTAACATAAATCACGTCCGTGTTTTTATGTCCACCTCGAGAAAATATTCTAGTTGGTTTAGATTGTTTGTCCAACATCACATCATCATATACTACGAGATTATTAATGAATCCATCTAAGTTATCTACAGACAGGACTTCATCTATGTGATAAAATCAATAATATCGTCACTGTCTTTATTAATTGATTTCGCTTTCTCGTTAAAATCCTTAAGTAACAATGCTGATCATCTACAGACGGTGCTATTAAATATAGTTTGCTCCATCTCAACCATCTCATTATTAGATTTAATAAAAAATTGTATTTTACCTGATGCAGATGGAGCTATTATAATCATTATTATCGAATTTGGTAATGTTGGATGGTGTTATACTGGTTCCTGTTTTCATGTCGCCGAAAAGTCAATTATTGTATCTATATTATTAATAATATAAGTCTATATTGTGTTCTATTTTGATCATATATGCCCACCGCTGGAATGACAACGATTATAACGAAAAATAAACGACGTGCAATAACAGGTAAATGTGCAAAATGTGGTACACAAAAATATAAATTTATCTCCATGTCTGATTCAGGGAAAAAGATAGGTGGGGATATTGCTGCTTCTTTATGAGAATTACCTGGATTACCATGCGCTAAATACGCCGGCGAGAAAAACCTTCCTGGATAAAATTATTGTGGTCCAGGAACTCGACTTGACATCTGACTTGATGATCAAGACCAACCAAGACCAAGAGAGCATCCTGTAAATAAGATTGATCAAGCATGTCATGATCACGGCGTTGTTTATTAAAGTAAAGATTTGCAGCGGCGGCATCTTGGGGATGTGAAATTGATTCATACATTAAATTCTATACCCAATAAATCTCTCAGAGAAAATCTCGCTAGTTTCCTGATAAAATCCGCTATGAAAAGTAAAATAATGCTAGGGGCTGGTAATTAATTATATGATTATTATAACGGAATCTATGTATTATAGCCCAAGAGGGTATTGGAGAGGCAAAGCAGCGATCACTAAACTTGCTGAAGCAGCAAATGTTTCACGTTCTGTTGCTGAAAATTCGTTAGCACGACAGGCAATATGGCAAATTTATTTACCACCACCAAAAACAATTCAATACGCACATTTTGATGTCGGTGTTCCTAACGATGTTCATCAAGCAGATATTTTGTTTTTACCACACGATACTATTAAAAGACGTGGACAAAAGTCACGCACGTACAAATACGCATTGACTGTCGTTGACTTTGCAAGTAGATATAAAGAAGCGGTACCATTATCAACAAAGACATTATCTAAAGTTGCAATTGCGCTTGAACGAATTTATCAACGTGGTGGTCTACGATGGCCACATCTATTACAAGTTGATCCTGGCAAAGAATTTCTTGGCATAAAAACATCTTTGATGAAAAAAGATAACGTTAAAATCAGACAATGGTATACTTAAATTCATCGTGCTCAAGCAATCGTTGAACGATTTAATCGAACACATGCTAAGCGGTTATTTGGATATCAATACGCAAAGGAAATATCTGCTGATTTTAAGTTGTGTGAGCGATCTCGTGAATGGGTTGCAAGGTTACCAAGTGTGATATATGCAATGAATAATAAAATTAATCGTACAACTTCCATGAAACCTTCTAATGCAATAACAAAAAGATATATATATATATATATATATATATATATATATATATATATATATATATATATATATATATATATATATATATATATATATCACGTAGCGATGAATACGGACAACGAGGTCAACATACAGTATTAGGTAATGTAATTGTGAGATATTTATACGAACCAGGGGAGCTGGAGGGTGAAAAAAAGAGCTGTTGACACTATCTGGAGTGTGACGACACATACAATATCTAGCGTGGTTAGATCCACTGGAATACTTGCCATATACAGACTAGATTCTACTGCCCCTCAACGTGGATTTGTGCGTGAACAATTGCAGGTCATTCCTGCAGACACACAATTACCACCGCGTTGACTTATGTAAACTAGAACCCCGGCGTCGATTACATTCAAGACAGGTCAGCATCATATTTTTACGTGTGTGGCCAAGATCACTATTTATTCTGTCTACGGTAAATTGTCTTGGATTATTATTCGAATATTGCCATAACATTATTGTGTTACAGTTTGCACAATGATTATTCTGCAGTTGTTTTAGTGTTATAATAAATTCAGTCACAATATCAAAGTCACGCTTATTTTTTGTCACATTGCTTAATAGACGCAAATTGTTTTCTTTACTACAGCAGCTGTGTCTTTAGTAACCTCCTTAGTTATCACGTAATCTATAATAACCCTCCATGTAGTTGAGTGATTCGTCTGACGCGAGATACTGCAAGATAGACTAAGTTTGACCACTCGAACCGATCATCAACAATCCATATATTTGTATCAGAGATAGTTAATCCCTGCGACGAGTGAATCATTGTAGCGTATCCTGACATCCACGGTGATTTATCCATGCTCAATGCGCTCTGGACAATATGGACAGCGACCAAAACAATATCATTCAATACCAGATTTTTTTTATTCCGCCACCAGGAATTTCAACTTCAAAATTCTGTCGCCGAGTATCTGCTGGGGGATAACATAATGGTACAGGTAGATGTGAAAACTTTTCTTTATGTAACTTAAATAATTTCTTTTGCAACTCATCACGAACTATCCTTCTACTTGCGACTATCAAATCTGTGGGTCTCCATAAAGTCCAAAATTAATTTATGGTAGTTTCTAGAATTACTTCACGCATTATCTCACATTGTATTTTATCTGGCTGTAGTCTGATTAACCTTTTACGTTCTTTCAGCGGTTCACCAATGGCTCTATGGAGCAGCAGAGAGGGTGAACCCTACAAATCTTTGCTCGAATCCTTAACGAAAAATAAAAGTTTCTACAGAGGCTGAAAAAAAAAGGTCTGTAACGCTAAACCAAAGTGTCTGACTAATTATATTTCCATACGCCTGATTTTGTCAGGAGGTTAGCTCATTTTTGTTATACTATTATCGAAATTATTTTGTCATGACTTTGTAAGGCGATTTTTGTTTTCCTGTAAAGCGACCCAATTATTGTCCTTCACCCTCCCTGCTGCTCCTGACGGTCAAGGGGAGCTAACCAAAGATTTTATCTAAACCTACACTATATCTTGATCTAGGATCATGTAGATATATTGTTATAAATCCAAAAGGAACAGATTGTGCTTTAGAAAAGAAACTTGTTTTATTTATTCATATCCATGTCCCCCGAACACCAAGTATAATAAATATTATGTAGAGTATACTTATCTACTCCATTAACAACAACCAAAATATTACAGCTATCTCTAATCACCTTAGGTATTTGTGTGTATCTCTGAGTAACATAAATCACGTATGTTTCTTATGTCTACCTCGAGAAAATATTCTAGCTGGATTAGATTGTTTGTCCAACATCACATCATCATATACTACGAAATTATTAATGAATCCATGTAAGCCATCTACAGACGGGGCTTCATCCATATCTGTGATAAAGTCAATAATATCATCACCTTCTTTATTAATTGATTTCGCCTTCTCGTTAAAATCTTCAAGTACTTCATGCCTATGCTGATCATCTACAGAAGGTGCTATTAAATATAATTTGTTCCATCCCAACAACTTCATTAATAAATTTAATAACAACTGTGTTTTACCTGATCCAGATGGACCTATTATAAACATTCTTATCGAATTTGGTAATGCTGGATGGTGTTTCACTGGTTCCTGGTTTCGTGACGCCAAAAAATCAATTATTGTATCCATATTATTAATAACATGAGTCTATATTGTGTTTGATGAAGAGCATCTACACCCACCACTGGATTAACAACAATAATAACGAAAAATAAATGAC